TCTGTTTCTGTCTTTATTATTTCAGCTGTGTTGCATAAGAACAACTACCTCTAATTCATTTTATGTGTTCACATACATCTGGAAAATTATTGTCTTTCATAAAAAACTCACATAAACAAAATGTTTTCTACCATTGCTCTTTAATGATTGTTTTAATAGTATTTGGTAATTGCTTGTGTATTTTTATACAGTGTTTGTTAATGGCAAGACACCAGGACAGGGAGGATTAAATGTGCTTGCACTGGTGTATATTTATTCTTGTTGTTATGTCGTGGTGTCCCTAATGTTATCTACGTATGTATGTATGTATGTCTAAAGCTATATGTACAGACTGCGGTGACAAATTTCCTGTAAAGCACAATAAAATATCTATCTATCTATTACTCCCTGTGACACTTGTCTTGTGCTAAACTTCACCCATGAACATTGTGTTTGTCCCAATCTGCCACAAATTTGAAAATTACATTGAAAGCAAATTTACAGAAACTGTTATTGTTGCACTACCCCTAACCCTCTCACCCTCTCACCCTCTCAGTGGTTCCAAACACCTTAAAATGGTGTGTTGAAGGTAAGGGCAACATTTACTTTGGGAACATCCAAATGTGACTCTACATTCGTCAAAAGAACCTATTGTAGAGTCCAAAAGAACTAATGACTACAACCACTTTGTTACAATGATCAATCACTGCTTTGTACCACTACCAAAGGGTCTGTACTGGATTTATGGAATGACTCCTTATGAGTATTTACCAAAAGGGATGTTCTGGAGTATGTGGTCTAGGTCATGTGATACCAGCCAGTATTAATGGTCTCTTTCCAGATTATGGAGTCATGGCAACTTTATATCAAATAAGAGACCTTTCTAATGCAGTTGAAGATCTCGCAAACTCTACTGCAAAAGAAATGTCCATGCTCTCACAAGAAATGACTGCAGTAAGAATGATGGCCTTACAAAACCAGGCTGCACTGGATTATTTACTTTGTACTGTCATTGGACCTGAATGTTGCACGTTTATACCTGATCACAATTCTAGTGTACAGGCTCAATTGGACTAAAAAAAGTTGTGAACATTAGGTTATTTAGTTTTTGAATTTGTTTTGCTTGGTTGTATAATCCTTACTATTATGTCTCTCCTGTTCTCCTGTCTCAAATCCATAAACAAATCAGTTATCAATAAAATAATGTTCTCCACAACAACTCAACCTGTTCCACCAATAGAAGAGAACTACGATTTTATTTGGGATTGATTATGACTGAATACCAAAACTACTGTTACTTATATCTTCATTACAGGTTTAGTTTCAGTTAACTTTCAGAGTACGTTGACTTGTTCTAATTTAGTGTTACAGTTAATAAACTTTTAGTTTAGTTTAAGTTCAGTTTACTTTTATATATGTATTTTACATTCACACACACAAAAAAATAATAATTGTGGATTAAGGAAGAAAAATGTTTTTATTTACATTTCATATGAGTTGCTTTGGACGTTGTTTGGATCCCAGAACAACCGGACAACAGGCTCCGCCTCCTCAGATAGATCCTTTAAAAAACTGCGCCATACTTAAAGGTTGAACGGAAAGATGCATATA